AGGCACATGCCACCATACTCAGCTAATTTTTAAAAAACATTTGTTGTAGAGACAGGGACTCACTATGTTGCCCAGGCTGGTCTTGAACTCCTGGCCCTCAAGTGATCCTCCCACCCCAGCCTCCCAAAGTGCAAGGATTACAGGCGTAAGCCACCACGCCAGGCCAGCCTATAACACTTTTAAAAGAATAACACATACTTGATTGATTTGTAAGAGCTTTTTACATACTAAAGATGGTAATCCTTATATTTTCTATACTACAAGTGCTCATGATTTAATGTTAACTGAGAAAAAGGATGTTAAGAATAATTTCAACTATGTAAAGAAAACCATTGAACTGGAAAAAAGCCTGGAAGGAAATAAGCTAAATTATGTATTATTATTGCCTTCTGTAAAAAACAGATGAGTGAATTCTTTTTTGCTCCTGTATTTTTTTCAGTACTACGTGGACTTGCTAGATGAGCATATATTAATTTTCATTCTGATTATCAAAGTAAGTGAAAAACTAAGCAGGAGGGAGGGAAGGAAGGAAAGGAAAGGAACCCTTAGACTTGATCATCTCACCTCAAAGAGGAGGCTGAATGCATCCTCCTCCTGACTTGTGAGGTGGACCGACAAGCCCTTAATGAAGACCCCTTGAGAGTTTTCCACGATGGTCATTGGTGTGACTGAGGGTCCAACATAGGGCAGAGTGGACAGGAGATCAAACAGGCTCTCATTATAGATTTCCAGGTAGGAAACACGCACAGTGATGGCATGTGTGGGACGTTCTTCAATCATCCTAAAAACCTAGATGGGAGATTGAACAGCAGTCACCAAGAGCAGAGAAGGGAACATCAAGAAGTATAAGATAATCTTTGTCCTAAGGGAATTCACAGTCCAATTGGTGTGATGGTTATCATCAATAACACTAATTACTATTAGTCCATCAGATGATACTTACCATCGTCTTGTAGTTTTTTGAGGCTTGACTTACAGATTGGCTAATATTTGTACAGTCCCCAGTAGAGGCATGATGAATGGAAAGGACTCTAAAGATATCTTATTTTGTGGGGCCTCACCATGTACATGACCCTTTCATACCTATTATTTAATTCCATCCTCATAAATCCCCTGTGATTGAGGCAAGCAGAGGCAATACACATTTGTGGAAGGCTCCATGCAATAAAATTATTTGTCCATGGTCACTCTGCTAGCAAGAGTAGAAGTGAAGCCAGAACTCAGCCTTCTCAACTCCCAATACCCTCCCCAGTACTTACCAAGCAAGTGACTTTGAACTGGTCTTTCTCCCTCTGTGGATTTTAATCTCTCAAATGCGGAATGGGGCTAGATAATCCCTGAGGTCCCACCTTCCTCTAAGTGTTTAGAACTGTGCTGTCCAAAATGGTTGACACTAGCTACAGATGGCTGCTGAGTACCTGAGATGTGGCTAGTGCAAATTAACTGAATTTTAAATTTTATTTAATTTAAATTAAAAAACTGATACTTGATTCAGTTACTGGTAAACTTTTAAGTATATCTGGAACAATCTGGATATGTAAATCTACTTTTCAACTCTAAATTTCATGAAATCTAAATACAGATCAAGTATTTCTTATGAATATTTAGTATCTAAATTGAAATGTGTTCTAACTATAAAAAACCATTGGAGTTCAAAGATTTAGAATGAGAAAAAGAATGTAAAA